TTTAGAGATGCATGTGTCTTATTAACTCTGTTTTCCTAGAGCTCCAGGAAGAAATCCCAGCCAGTGTTTCACCCTAGCTGAGATTTGGGGGGCGTGTCATAAATATAAAGGGAAGGGTAAACCCCTTTGAAATCCCTCCTGGCCAGGGGAAAGCTCCTCTCACCTGTAAAGGGTTAAGAAGCTAAAGGTAACCTCGCTGGCACCTGACCGAGATGACCAATGAGGAGACAAGATACTTTCAAAAGCTGGGAGGAGGGAGAGAAACAGAGGGTCTGTGTCTGTCTGTATGCTGCTCTTGCCAGAGACAGAACAGGAATGGAGTCTTAGAACTTTTAGTAAGTAATCTAGCTAGGTATGTGTTAGATTATGATTCCTTTAAATGGCTGAGAAAAGCATTGTGCTGAATAGAATAACTATTTCTGTCTGTGCATCTTTTTTGTAACTTAAGGTTTTGCCTAGAGGGGTTCTCTATGTTTTTGAATCTAATTACCCTGTAAGATATCTACCATCCTGATTTTACAGGGGGGATTTCTTTATTTCTATTTACTTCTAATTTTTATTAAAAGTCTTCTTGTAAAAACTGAATGCTTTTTCATTGTTCTCAGATCCAAGGGTTTGGGTCTGTGGTCACCTATGCAAATTGGTGAGGCTTTTTATCCAACATTTCCCAGGAAAGGGGGGGTGCAAGTGTTGGGAGGATTGTTCATTGTTCTTAAGATCCAAGGGTCTGGGTCTGTAGTCACCTAGGCAAATTGGTGAGGCTTTTTACCAAACCTTGTCCAGGAAGTGGGGTGCAAGGTTTTGGGAAGTATTTTGGGGGGAAAGACGCGTCCAAACAGCTCTTCCCCAGTAACCAGTATTAGTTTGGTGGTGGTAGCGGCCATTCCAAGGATAACGGGTGTAATATTTTGTACCTTGGGGAAGTTTTGACCTAAGCTGGTAAAGATAAGCTTAGGGGGTTTTTTCATGCAGGTCCCCACATCTGTACCCTAGAGTTCAGAGTGGGGGAGGAACCTTGACACCCCCTAACATACGGGGATGTGAGTGATTGCTGGACCCAGACTAGGAAAGAGTCTAGTCTGTAAATGAAGCTTATTGGAACATCTCTGAGGGTAAGATTTACCTGCATTTAGTTTAGACTTGCGTGTTTTTGTTTTATTTTGCTTGGTAAATGTACTTTGTTCTGTCTGTTATTACTTTGAACTACTTAAATCCTACTTTTTATACTTAATAAAATCACTTTTTGCTTATTAAATTAACCCAGAGCATGTAATTAATACCCGGAGGAGCAAGCAGCTGTGCATCTCTCTCCATCAGTGTTATAGAGGACAAAAATGTATGAGTTTACCGTGTATAAACTTTATACAGAGTAAAACGGATTTATTTGGGGGTTTGGATCCCATTGGGAGCACTTCTTAAGTGGTTTTCAGTTAAACCTGCAGCTTCTGGGGGACGTGGTTCAGACCTGGGTCTGTGTTTGCAGCAGGCTAGTGTGTCTGGCTCAACAAGACAGGGTACTGAAGTCACAAGCTGGCAGGGAAAACGGGTTCAGAGGTAGTCTCAGAACATCAGGTGGCAGTTCACAGGGGGTTTCCGTGATCCAACCCATCACAGGTATCATTTGAAAACTCAATTTGCTGATAATTGTCCAAGTAAATTATATGGCAACATTGTAATAAAGTTATAAAATTCTACTGTATGACATTACTGAGGCATGTTCCAAAGTTCAGAAAAGCAGGCACAAACCAGTTCCTTAGAGACAAAAGGCAAACTGATGCCTCAGCCAGGTGTGAACAAAATCAAATGGACTATCACCTGGTTAAAGCAGCCATTCTCTGGCAGGAAAAGAGGGTGCGAGCAAGAAATTTACACCTTGGAAAAGGAACAGCTGGTGGTTCCTACCCACAGACTTTCTGTCTCTTGAACCTCAGCTGGAGATCATTCTCAAACAGGAGGAAAACGTATGAGAGTGGGAAACAGACACCAAGTGACTCCTCCCTTTCTCTCTGCCCACGGCATTCAGAACACCTGAAGTACAAGGAAAGACGCATTGGACTGGGGAGAGGGGTCCTAGCTTGTATTGTGCAAGAGAGGGCTGGGCAATACAAGCAGCACATTTCTGGGGACAAGTCTACGACTGGGAATTTGCTGGTGTTGCTCTGCAATATAATTCAGGAGTGGCTGGCTACAGCATTCACAATACAGCTGGGAGTAATCTACATGCTGGAGGTTGTGTTGTTAGCAGTCCAGGACTGGTTGCTCTCACAGTGAAGCAGTGTAAAAGGCACCCCAGGTTGGAGAATTGAGGGGACACAGCTGTTCAACAGTCCAGATTGTATGCTGGATAATGTCACACATGTTATACTCCTGGGGGAATTCTGTACCACTGTGCACACGCATATTCCATGTGCCATGAATATTTTTAATTTTTTCGCAGAAATTAGCTTCTGCTGAAAAATTGATGCAATTCCATCTTTTGCCCACTAGAGGGTACTGTGGTGCTAGAACACAGCAGCTGCTCCAGGCAAGCCCCAACCAGCTAGGGAAGAGAAAGAGCCTGCCTTTTTCCACAGTGCCTGTTGGGCCAGGTCAAGAGACAGAGGATAGAGAGAGACAGCCAGCATGCGGCTGCTGGGAGGATTTCAGACAGGGGCTCATAAGGGCTAGTGGGAGAGGACAGACTGGGGCAGGGGCTGAATGGGAATGGAGGCGCAGGGCCACAGAGTGGAGGGAGGTGCAGGGCCACATGGGCATAGTGGAAGAGGTGCAGGGCTACAGGGGGAAAGGGGATGGCTGAGTGGGGGCATGGAGACACATGGGAACAGGGGGTGCACGGACATATGGGGATGGGGTGTTGTCATAAATATAAAGGGAAGGGTAAACACCTTTAAAATCCCTCCTGGCCAGAGGAAAAATCTTTCACCTGTAAAGGGTTAAAAAGCTAGGATAATTTCGCTGGCACCTGACCAAAATGACCAATGAGGAGACAAGATACTTTCAAAGCTGGGGGGGGGGGGGAGAGAAGAGAAACAAAGGGTGTGTGAGTGTGAGAGAGAGAGAGAGAGAGAGATGCATTTGCCGGGAACAGAAAGGAATGGAGTCTTAGAACTTAGTAAGTAATCTAGCTGGATATGCGTTAGATTCTGTTTGTTTAAATGGCTGAGAAAATAAGCTGTGCTGAATGGAATGGATATTCCTGTTTTTGTGTCATTTTGTAACTTAAGGTTTTGCCTAGAGGGATTGTCTGTGTTTTGAATCTAATTACCCTGTAAGGTATTTACCATCCTGATTTTACAGAGGTGATTCTTTTACTTTTTCTTCTATTAAAATTCTTCTTCTAAGAACCTGATTGCTTTTTCATTGTTCTTAAGATCCAAGGGTTTGGGTCTGTGTTCACCTATGCAAATTGGTGAGGATTTTTATCAAGTCTTCACCAGGAAAGGGGGTGTAGGGTTTAGGGAGGATTTGGGGGGGGAAAGACGTTTCCAAGCGGGCTCTTCCCAGTTATCTATCTATCTATTTATCTGTTAGACGCTTGGTGGTGGCAGCAATAAAGTCCAAGGGAAAAAGGAAAATAGTTTGTACCTTGGGGAAGTTTTAACCTAAGCTGGTAAAAATAAGCTTAGGAGGTTTTCATGCAGGTCCCCACATCATGCAGAGTTCAGAGTGGGGAAGGAACCTTGACAGGTGTCTGAGTGGGGGTGGAGGGACACGTGAACAAGGGGTGCAAGGACACATGGGGCACAGAGACACAGAAGCAGATGTGCCTGATTGAATGGGAGAGACTAGGGGTCAGCTAGGGTCTGCACAGGTACACTCCTTAACAATCCTTCCCTGCCCCCTCAAAAAACCTGTTCCATATTTTTCCCACCCATACACAACAACCCTTCAAGTTCATACCCAGTCTCCTTCCCAGCAATTACTTCCTTCTCCTTCAGCTCCTCCATTACCCCTGACTCCCCCAAGCCTCTGCATTGCTTCTGAGAGGTCCAAAAAATATGGTTCTGTTCTGTAGTTTAAATGAATTATTACTTAAAGAGCTCTGTATTAAATATGCCTAGTAAGGAATCTATTTGTCAAAAAACGTTTCCTGAATCCTTTTTGTTGTCCATATTGTTACAGCCATACTTACTGACAGGTATTTTGAAATAAAATTACCAAAAAAATTGAAACTGATGTGATTATATTGTGTTATTTTGACAAATAAAATATGTGGAATTTTAAAATTGTGTGCAGAATTTTTAATTTTTTGGTGCAGAATTTTTAGGCGCAGAATTCTCCCATGAGTAATGTGAAACAGACTTCAGCTATTCCTTGTCTATGGATGAAACTATTATTCTCAGGAGTTTAAAAGAGAAACATAGCAAAGCAGACTCCCCAATTCTGAATTTTGAAGGATAACTTAGAAATAAATTAAAAATGTTTTATGAAACCTTCATCACAATACAGGAAAGGGCTATAGGATAACAAAACAACACCTCAAAAATAGATAATTTCAATCCATCCCCTTCCCCCCTCTCCCTGAGATTGTCCCTTCAGGAGAAGGTTGAAGCTCAATGATGGAGTAACGTAGGGAAGTCTGTGCTGCCACACTCTGTCTTATACTTATTTCTTGAACAGAAATTTTTTCCTTCTAAGACTATTAGCAAGGGACTTTCCAGAAACACTATTTGAAAATGTGGCAGAAGTCTGCTATTCAAAAATCCTATTAAGGAATGAACTGGGATTTAAAGATAGGCAGCACCATGAAAAAGCAGTTTCTCCTGAAGTTGTGTGCAAGTTTCTTACTGACAAAAGAAGACTAATTTCTAGTAACAATGAGGATTAATATATTTGAGAACAAGAAATCTGAATCAGACAGGCAGTGACACATGAGCCAGCCTTACTACCCTGTGAAAATCCAGATCAGTATAACTGCTAAAGTCCACTAATTGGATTGCACTGTAGAATTTTAGTTATAATGGAGCAGAGAAAGAAGGGGAGCAGAGAGGGTGAAGTACCTCCAGTAACTACTAGAAGACTCTCTTTCTTCTCCTTTTCAAAGCGAGTTGCCATTTCTTCCTGTGAGGCCTCCTCTTCCTCCTTTTCTTCTTGCAGCCTCTTCATTCTTTCCATTAAGGCCTCCAGCTCACTCAAAGAATCTGCAATCTGGAAAAAAACCAAAAAGAAACCCAAAAACCAACCATGATATTTTGGCAAATTAAAAAGTAAATGGCATCATAGTTGTCTAGGAGTAAAAGCTCAAATTAAATATTCTCAAAAGTTATCTCTATCCTTGAAAACACAGCATATGGTACATATACTTTGAGTACATTATAGGTGATGCATCTTTGAAAGTCTTTCACAAAGGGTATGTCTATGCTGCAATGTAAGCCCAGGGTTAGTGGGACTCGAGTCAGCTGACCCTTGTTAGAGAACCCTGGGCTTGAGCATCTACACTGATTCTAATTGTATGTTAAGAATTTTGTAACCCAGGCTCAAAACTGTGGTTCTGATGTCCACACTGCAGCATGCTGATCCAAGTCAAACCAACTAGATTCCAAATCATTTGCCCAGAATCCCTAGTACCCTCCCAAAACATGGCTGCTCTAGCCCTTTGACTGTGATGCACTGTCAGAAAATTTTATTGCCCATGCTGCACATTAAAAGTAAGTTTGAACAGCCTGCCAACATAGCCAGCCAGAGACATATTTTGATATGTAGGCCCCCAGCTACCAGGGGCAGGGTGGATGTGCCTTTTGAAAAACTTCTTGCTTGCGTTTTCACTCCTGTGTCAAGAAACAGGCAGAGCTTGTCTGAGGCACTGGTGGACGTTTTAGCAGCTTTTTCTGATCTACCAAAAGTACCTGACAGGTTTCATGGTGGAGCAAGTAGGAGGTGGTGGCAGAGAAGTATCCAGGCACGGCAGACGCTGCTCAGTACAATCAGCAGAGTCACTGATGCCCCCTACATAATCCGGCGCATGCCCACAAGCAGAGATTGGTGGGATCATGTAGTCATGCAGACCTGGGATGTCAAGCAGTGGGTCCAGAAGTTTTTCATGAAGAAAGCAACATTTTGGAGCGTTGTGAGCAGCTTGCTCTGACTCACCAGCGTAAAGAGACACACGAGGGCACCCTTGCCTATCCAGAAGCAGGTTGCCATAACTGTCTGGAAGCTGGCTACCCCAGACCGCTACAGGTTTGTTGTCAACCAGTTTGGTGTCAGAAAGTTAACTGTGGGTAAAGTGAGTTTTCTGAGGCAATCAGGCACGTGGTTTGCCACCAAGTGGCAGGCATTAAAGGTATTCCGGAGGTAATTGTTAGCTTTGAGAGAATGAGGTTTCCAAACTGTGCTGGGGCCACTGATGGACTCATGTGCCCATAGTTTGCCCTCCTCAAGGAGCACGAGCACCTACACTGCAAAGGTAGTACTGCAAAGGGTACTACTACATTGTTATGCAGGCCCTCATGGACCATGGAGGCTGATTTCATGAATGTCATAAGGGGCTGCACTGGAAAAGTTAATGAAGAAAAGTTTTTCACAGCTTGAGAGTCTATATTCATGGACAGGATGGCACACTATTCCCTAAATGACACTGTATTAAACAGTTATTGTCCACACCGTTATTCTGGGGCACTCTGCGTCTCACAACCCCCCCCTCCCACACACACCCCTTTTGCCTTGGTTTATGAAACTATACCCTGATTTCAGAGGCCCTGGCAAAAGGAGGTTTAGTTACACTCAGCAGGTGCAGAATGGTTGTAGAATGTGGGCAGAACCTGCTTTTAGCAGGTTAAATCCCATTGGAGATCTCTACCGATCTGTTTGGATGCCAGTGTCATCAGTGCTGTCTGCATTACTGCGGCTTGCTATGCTGTTCACAATCTTTGTGAAGCCAGAAGTGAGCCGTTTCACCCTGAATGGATCTATGATGGGCTCAGGTGTGGCTTCCGTCTCCTCCAGGTTTGCTGCATGTTTTGCAAAAGGCTTGTTCTGTTGGGCCTCCATTGCAACCACAGAAGGCTCTCTGATGGTGTGTTTGCAGCTCCATGATTAGAAGACAATGGAAGAGTTAATGCAGACTCACTGAGCTGCTGCTGTATGCTGGGGAGGCTGGCTTCCATTTTCAACTGAGTCAACTAAAGAGTGTTGGCAGAGAGAGGATTAAGGAAATTAGCCCATGGGATTATGGAATACTTCTGGCAGACACCCAGAACAAGAGTTAAGTGAGGCCACAAAGCAATAGGGCTCGAACCCTGAGTCCCGATGTGATTTAGGCTTGTTCCCTGAAGCCCTAGGTCTTAGCCCTGGGTTTGTGCGATGTGTGTAGATGAAGGTGTGGGGTTAGACTTGAGTCTGCACTTACACTGCAGTGTAGACATACCTAAAACGTTATAAGGAAAAGCAGTGAAAAGGGACGGACCCGGTAGCCCCATTCAAGGCTATCAGACTACTTTATTGCAGCAGGGGTAATTGAGAAATGCAGACATTGTTCGAAAGAGGAAACTGTATCCATAAATGTATGTTGCAACATTCTGAAGGTTCAGAAAAAATCACTTATCCCTGAATAAACACTGACATGTACTCCGGAAGACAGTTTTAAATATTAAAATTGACTTTTCTGGTTTTACTGCTGCTGACAGCCGTCTTACTAACGAGTCATATTGTCTATGATACCAGCAATACAGGAGCCCAACCTAGGAGAGTAAATCAATATTCTATTCTATTTTAATGTTTTATTAACCCAAACTAGTTGCTTATACATATAAAGATAAAAATATTACAAGGAAGAACCGCATATTAGAACTACATCTTGTAGTGACAAAAAAGGATTCAGATATGCATAACCTAAATCTGTTATTCTCTCTCCTTTCAATCTCTTACTTGTGAAAAGTTATTTTATTTTGTTAGCAGTGAACTTAAGAACTACTAATTAAATTGCACGAAGGGTCTCCCCACCCCCAAAAAATAGCCTAGCACATCAACCTGTAGTACAATTTAAGGCTTCCTTTTCAAAGCATTGCAAAATTAGATTTGTAATAAACACCAGGTTTACACAATATAATTAACTAGAGATCAAAATTCTTTCTGCTGGTTGGTTCAGGGAGGAAAAAAAAGGTTGTTTGAAAAAAGTTTATTGATCCTGGAAGTAAGTACTTGGTGTTAGGATATAGATATTCAGGCCTGTCTCTAAAGGCCTACACTCTAAGAATTTAGGTGTTTCTTATCACTTAGCTAGTTATAGAGGTATAAAAGAAAGAATCAAAATCACTGTCTGCCGGCGTAAGGGCCTTCTCTTACTGTGACAGTCTGAGGCCTTGTTCTTAGGCAGCCATAAGCTGGGAAGTGAACGGTCACATCCTCACATTCCAACCTAGTCACATTGAAATAAGGTGCTACTGGGCTGTTAGGAATACAATCCTGTCCTGATAATGCCTATCACCTCCAGAGAAAGGAAAGTGCCTAGAAGATGTAAAAGGAAACTTAGTTTGATAGCATCCTGTCTGGCAAGAACTCACTTATCAATAGACAGCTGGGAAACCCTTATGTCTTTATAGATGTAGTTGTGAAATCCTCATTTCTGTGTTGTTCTATCATTGTAGTCCCCATTTCCCTATTGTTTGTCTGTATAATCTGTCTGGTTCTGTGATTGTTTCTGTCTGCTGTATAATTAATTTTGCCAGGTGTAAACTTATTAAGGTGGTGGGATATAATTGGTTAAATAATCATGGTACAATATGAAAAGGAGTACTTGTGGCACCTTAGAGACTAACCAATTTATTTGAGCATAAGCTTTCGTGAGCTACAGCTCACTTCCTCGGATGCATACCGTGGAAAGTGTAGAAGATCTTATTATATACACACAAAGCATGAAAAAATACTTCCTCCCACCCCACTCTCGATATGGATACAGAGCTGTCTGTATCGATATCGAGAGTGGGGTGGGAGGAAGTATTTTTTCATGCTTTGTGTGTATATAATAAGATCTTCTACACTTTCCACGGTATGCATCCGAGGAAGTGAGCTGTAGCTCACGAAAGCTTATGCTCAAATAAATTGGTTAGTCTCTAAGGTGCCACAAGTACTCCTTTTCTTTTTGCGAATACAGACTAACACGGCTGTTACTCTGAAACCTGTCATGTTACAATATGTTAGGATTGGTTAGTTAAATTTCAGGAAAATGATTGGTTAAGGTATAGCTAAGCAGAACTCAAGTTTTACTATATAGTCTGCAGTTAATCAGGAAATAAGGGGGGGAAATGGGAACAGGGAATGAGGGTGGGGAAATTGGAATCATGTTTGCTAAGGGGGGGGAATGGGAACAAGGACACAGGTGTAAGGCTCTGTGGTGTCAGAGCTGGGAAGGAGGTACACTAAGAAAGGAAACTGGAATTATGCTTGCTGGAAGTTCACCCCAATAAAACATTGAATTGTTTGCACCTTTGGACTTCGGGTATTGTTGCTCTCTGTTCATGCGAGAAGGACCAGGGAAGGAAGTGGGTGAAGGAATAAGCCCCCTAACAAAAAGTGTTTCAAACATTAGCCTGTTTTGAGATCATTGACTTTAAATAGATCACAATTCTGATTACCATGTTGCAATTTTTTCCATTTTGATTGCAGCACCCTCTATTTCATGAGCCTCCGGAGCTCAAACAGTGATTTATACTATTTAAAAGTTAGGGCTTCCGGCTTTCTAAGAAAAAGAAGCCTTAATCTACCCCAGTAATTCAGGAGATCAGCTATTAAAAATCACTTTGCAACTGAAGCTTGTAATCAGAATTATGTGATTTTGAATCTGATATATTGCAAACTGTCAGGGCTAAAATCTTATATGCCACCAGAACCCTAGCATTCCAACAGTATATACAAAACAAACAAAATTTAGGCTTAAATAGGAAAGAGTGGAAAAAACCTAATACAAAACAGAAGCAAGCAAAAGAATACTCTTGCAACACTAACCCCAAAGTTGCTACTTGTGAGGGATGCATTCTCTATGTTGTTGTCGTTGGCAAGATCACAGACACAGAATTTGTTGACTGCTATAAGTCTGAACCCATTAGAGGTATCTGGATCTCTCTCTGGATTAATGCCACTACCAAATACAAAACTTGCCAAGGCATGATAGTGTGCCAATAGGACCACAGCATGTACCAATTCAGGAAGAGACCAATTATTTTCTCCAGTCTTGACAAGTTTCTGAAATGAGAACAAAATAGAGAGTGAGTAAATATATGAGCTCTAGAGACCAAGATAGAAAGTGTATGAGAATGTATATGGATGGGATAGCTCTGACTCCCAGCCTCCAAAAATGATTTTTCTTTCATCCCAAACCACCCCCAACCAAATAACGGCGCATATTCTGTCCTATTTTCTACTTACAATTATTCGTGTTAATTCCCATCTTTGGGGAGGGATACAATTATTTAATATCCTAATATCTTCAGAATGTCTACTAAATATGTAGATTTCTCATTTAATAATGAAATTATAAAACAAAAATATTAAGCCGAAGTAGATTTGCATATTATTTAGCACTTTTCATTAATAACATTACACTGCTAATCTAGATATATTTTGATGGGTACCTGAATATGTTCTTTTGTGATCAGCCAGGGTCGGTGTGCAAGAAGTTTGTTTATTTCATTCAAATTTTTCAGTCTTTGTGGGATATATTCCAAACCATTCAACCATTCTGCAATCCCTCCAGTCTTCAGAAACTCATCAACATGCATATTTACTATGTAGGAACACTGATGTCTGGCAGCAGCCTAAAGTAGTTAAAACAGTCAGGAAGAGGTATTACAAGGGCAGCAGATTTAGATATGTCTATGTAACACCAACAAACCCCAGTCGGCGGTGGGCAGGATCGAACCTCGGCCCTCTGGAGCTAAATGCATGAGCCTCTACTGCAGGGGTGGGCAAACTTTTTGGCCTGAGGGCCACATCTGGGTATGGAAATTGTATGGCGGGCCATGAACGCTCATGAAATTGGGGGTTGAGGTGTGGGAAAGGGTGAGGGCTCTGCCTGGGGGTGTGGGCACTGGGGCCAAAATGAGGAGTTCAGGGTGCGAGAGGGGACTCTGGACTGGGGCAGGGGATTGGGACGTGCAGGGAGGGAAGTCAGGGGTGCAAGGTTTGGGCAGCGCTTACCTCAAGCGGCTCCCGGAAACAGCAGCATGTTCCCTCCTCCAGCTCCTACATGGAGACTCGACCAGGTGGCTCTGTGCACTGCCCCATCCATGGGTACTGCCCCCGCAGCTCCCACTGACCACAGTTCCAATTAGGGCAGGAAATTGGGGTGTGGGGGCAGCGTGCTCAGCCCCCTGGTTGCCCCTACGCATAGGAGGTGTGTGTGTGTGTGGGGGGAACATGACGCTGCTTCTGGGAGCCGCATGGAGTGGGGCAAGCCCCTGACCCTGCTCCCTGGCAGGGGCTCAAGAGCCAGACTAAAACAACTGGAGGGCCGGATGTGGCCCCTGAGCCATAGTTTGCCCACCCCTGCTCTACTGCACGAGCTAAAAGCCACATGACCCTTTGCTAAGGCTGTAGAGCAGACTCATTAATCTAAGTGGTCTTGGTGCCACTAGATGGGACAGAACACCACACCCAGGAGGTGTGTGGGTTACATCTACACTGCAAAAACACCCCAGCAGCAAGTCTCAGAGTCTGGAGGCCTGTCTACAGGTACAGTTCTGCAGCTATGCCACTGTAGCACTTTAGTGAAGACACTACTATGCCAACAGGAGAGCTTCTCTTGTCAGTATAGTTAATCCACCTGTGCAAGAGGCAGTAGTTATGTTGACAGGAGAACTTCTACATAGTGCTGTCTACATTGGGGACTAGGTCAGTATAACTACATTGCTCAGAGGTGTGGATTTTTCAAACCCCTGAGCAACGTAGTTATATGAATGTACGTTTGTAGTGCAGACCTGGCCTAAGTGAACTGACTCAGGCTTGCAGAGCTTGCACCATAGAAAGAAAGGAAGCCAAGTTGTCAAGGCAAGGCTATTTATAAACAAGGTTTGGGGTTTCTTTTTTTGGAGGGGCATTAAGGAGATAGGCAGGAAAGTGTGTGTTAATATAAGGATTCTTGGTACATACCATTATAGCAATGTAGTGCCTATAAGGCAAAGGAAGGGGCCCATCCATACGCAACATATAGAACTGGCTGCGGAGGAAAGACTCCAAGTACTGAGTATGTAAACTCATGACCTGTGTGATGTTGTCCAAGCGACCAGATGTTGAGTATTCTTCCACAAGAAGGTTAGTACGTTCATTCAAACCATTTGCTTGCATCACCTTAAGAGCGAAGTAGGCAATGTAAAACAGATAAACTAAGATAGACTTCCCCTCACTCAAGTAACCCCAGATACCTACATAATTCAATTGTGCATGCAAATCCCAACTTCTGTGGACTTTGGGATGTTTGTGCATATATATGTACAGAAAATGCTTAACAAAATTAAGGAATAAGAAATCTGCAAAGAAGCTGTACACTCAGTTTGTTACTTTGACAGGTTTCCATAAAAATGGAGTGAAGTTTTCTATAAATCCTTCTACAGGTCATATTCTCAGTTGGTGAAAGTCAGCATAGCTTCACTGAAGTCAATGTAACTATGCTGATATACCAACTGAGAATTCAGCCCCAAAATGTTACTTCAAAGTTAATATGGGGAGGAGCCGAGTTAGGTAACTAAACCAGAGAATAGGTCTGTCTGCCTGCCGCTTCCCAGTTTTATGTTTGTATAATTAAAGAGATCAAAAGCTAGTTTATTTTAAAAGCTCGCATTATTTAAATACAGAAATTTAATGCTTTCTTTAAACTGTTCTTTACTAACCATTCCAGCCAACCCTGACCTTGGGCTACAAGATGAAATCATGTGGTAGAAAGGTAGCTCTTGAAATGCAAGCCTTAACAAAAAGCATTAGCAGCTATTAGAGCAGTGTTTTATCACCAAAGAACGGCCATTCTAAACATGTTCATCTGTGGAAAAAAAGTTGCAAGAAAGGGACTAGAATACCAAGAGTTATTCTTTAACTCCCTATAACAGAACATTAGGGTAGCTAGTTTATCATTACAAATACCATGACCTTCTTTTCTACTCCAACTGGTTTACCAGGAATTAAAAGATAAAATCCCTGCAACTATCGAACATAGCTCTGTTGTTGTTGAATTTGATTCCGTGACTACATCACCAACTAAAACAAAAATCTTGAACTGGCAAAGAGAAAAATATTTCTCAACAAATCAAATTTTATTCTTAAGGAATAAAATATACACACATGAACAAGTTACTGCACCTTCTCTTTCTACCTCAAGGTTTCCTTGTTTTGGCTTGTAGAATCAGAAGGCAGAGGTAGAAGAGAATATTTTCAGTCATCTAGTTAACTAGTCCCATCACCTTTCCATGTATAATTGTTCCCTGCAATGCCTCTTTTTGTGCTTCGTACCAAGCAATGGGCCTTCCACCATTCTTCCTGGGAGGCTGTTCTGACCATCAGAAACTTTCTGTTTTTTCAGACTAACTGTCTGCACAGAAAAGCTACAGTGGCAAACCTGCAATGCTGTAGGGTAGACACTTGTTACAAGCGATAGAAAGCGTTCTTCAAAAGCTGTAGTAAATTCCACTTCTCCAAGAGGCAGCAGATAGGTGGACAGAAGAATGCTTCTGTCAACTTAGTGCTGTCTACCTTGAGATTCAGATCAGCTTAACGATGCATGTGAATTTTTCACACTCCTGAGCAATATCAGTAGGTGGACCTAAGTTTTAGTCAGAGACTAGGCCTAAATCTGTTCTTAATTTTATCCCAGTAGTCCTTGTTATACTCCTATACTCCACTCTAATAATTCCTCTTTCTCCTTGGTGATTACACCCTTCAATTATTTATAGATGTACGTCCCCGTTAGTAGTCTCTTAGGAAAACTATCCACATGTGTCTCAATCTTTCCTTGCATGTTTCTTCCTCCAGTTCTGAGAATCTTTGCCAGTTTTCTCTACACTTCCTACAGCTTGTCAGCATCTTTCTTTTAAGGACGTACTCGGAACAGAAAACTGATTTCAGGTGCAGTTACATTTTTCTGTAGAGAGAGAGGACTTGTCATGTATTATTGTGCCTTGCATAGACAGGTACAGAACTACACTCTGTTTGAGCACTACTGCTTCCCTGGCTTATCTCCACAATAAGTGTTTTTGGATAATTTTCCCCTGGATGTATCAGCTTGCATTTTCCAGGCTGACTATGTCTTTTTTGACTGTTTGTGTGTCTAGTCCAACATGTATTACTCTTCTGCTCTAACAAGTATCTGTACTTCTTTGCAAATTAGTAGCATCTGTGGATTCAATAAAATGCCCTTCCAAATGTTTACAGTACCCTTACACCTTCTGATTCATGCTTGTCATTACCTTTTTCTTCACTTCTTCTGCTTTCAATCTATTCCATATCGCTCTTACCAAAGTCCGTTTTATTTAATTTCTCAAGCTTTGAGATGTACCAACATGTTTTATTAAATTACAATTATATCAAATGTATTCCCTTCATCCTTCATTGATAACTATCACCAAAACCAAAAGTCAAGCCAGCCTAGCAATTTTAGTCTTTATAACACTGCTTATTGTTTATAGTTCTAATTTTGCACAGAAGTTTAGTGATTTGTTTGAATATTTGTTCCACTATTTCCTTAGTGATAGAAGCCAAGCTTATGGAGTAGTAACTGCAGAATTACACTCCTTTCTGAAGACTAAGGCCTGGTCTACACTAGGAATTTACAATGGTATAGCTACACAGCTATATTGACCTAACCCTGGTGTACACAGTGGTAAGTCAACAGAAGAATTCTTCCATCGACCTAGCTACTGCCTCTCAGGGAGGTCGATTATCATGCTGACAGGAGAAGTATGTAGTGTCTACACTGAAGAGTCACAGCGGTGCCACTGTACATTTTAGACATACCCTAACTTCTTTTATATGACCTTCCAGGACCCCTCCTGTCATGCTGGACTTTAACTGATACAGTAAGCTCATTAGACAATTCTCTCAAAACTTACATGTTCAGATTCAAAATATTCACTTTTGCTTTTTATCTATCTTTATGGCGTTTTCCTTGCTTTCCAGTTGTCCAAGCTTCATTGTTCTCATTACAGGTTTGCTTTTAAGTTCAGCTTCTCAGATCCCTGTGTGATATTAGTGGAAGCCTTTTCACTCTCACTCCCCTTTGCAACTTTGACTAGCAGTGACTCAGTCTGGTTTTTGCTGCCTTGATCTTTTCTCTGCAAGCCTCACTTTAACCTGAATCCTTGTTTACTTCTTCCCCACCTCTCCATTTCCAGTGCATGTTTTAAGATTTCTTTTTTGAGATTCAAATACTTGAGCAGGATTTCATGAGATTTAGTCTTTATAATGCTACTTATTGCTCATGGGTCTAATATATTATAGCCTTGGAAATTCATATTTTGGCATACACTATTAGACATGATCCCTAAACATAGCTACTAGAAATTACCCCTAAAACAGGGGGCAGATTCCCACTTACTTAATCCAGCAAGCCACATTAATATGCAATGAAAATAATTCTGTGACTTATTATCCATTCCCCATCTCAAGCCAGGTGACTCATGTCATTGGGAACATTCAGCACAAAATTTAAAAACTGCAGTATCGTTCATTTGACTATTGGACTGTCCCACAACAGCAAAACTAACCAAACATATCCCACTGTGGGCCATCAAAGATCCTAACTTGCTGGGCATGCAGCACAGGCTCCTATAAGCCAAAATGCCCACAAAAAAGACGGATGTTGCAGGGTGCCTAGAAATGAACAAATCTGAGTTCTGGCAGACTACAGGATGGGGAGCAAATTCCAGAGCCCAAGACCCCTCATGAGTCAGAAGCACTCTCCCTTTTAAAGTGCCTTTGCTGATCTTAACTGTGTACTGCTTGGGAACAGCATCATCTCAGGAACCATATCATCAAACCATTTAGGGTTTTCTAGATTTAAAGTGTACACAATACCATTAAAAAGTCTTCAAAAGACAAAGCATAGTTAATACACACACACATATCTTTCCCTAATAAAAAATCAAGCCAGGGACTCATTCCAATATTCTTCTCTAATCCCCACAGACAGGATTCTGTGAATAATCAATACTTGTATCATCCTGAGTAATGGGTGGGGATCCTGCAATTTCTTTTCCTTCTGCCTAGGAGTGGAGAGCTATTCCAAGAAACACTACAGCCCAGTGTGACGCTATTGATGGAGACTGTGACCATATAGATCACTGTTGTAACCACTGTTATATATTTGCAGCAAATATTGTACAAAGATTGTCATGTGAGGTGTGCAGGACAAGGTTATAATTTGCTGGTTATGATTATGTTATCTGTATGCATGTATCATTTTTGTATTTATAGTTATAAGTATTGGCTCTATACTGTTTGTATTTCAAACTTGTGCTATGCTTCAGGGTGACAACCCAGACAATTTGGTGTCAGCACCACCTAGCCTGCTTGATAGCCCATTAAGGACCATCAGCTATACAACTGACCTATTGAGAGAAGGCAGACACACCTTGTGACTCAGCAAGGCATGCAGGGACATGCCTATGGACAGAACTCTAAGGTTTTTCCATGCCATGTGCTAGATTAGTTTGTCTTTGGAACAAAGAAAGCAGAAGCCACATGGCAAGAGACTATAAAAGGCTGCTGCAGCTCCTCCATTTTGTCTTCAGTCCTGCTTCTTACTTCTGGAGGAACCTTGCTACAAACTGAAGCTCTGAACAAAGAACTGAATGACCCATCCCAGCTGTGGACATAGGTGCTGACTTTTGATTTTGCCAGCGGGTGACCCATCCTGGCTCCGCCCCTTCTCCAAGGCCCTGCCCCCACTCCACCTCTTCCTTCCCCATTCCCCTAGACCCCCCTGAATGCCTCCTTCTTGCCGACCCCCTCCCCTAAATGCCTCCCACCTGTTTAGTGCTCGCTCCCAGCCACACACTCAAAGCAGCTCTGTCTCCCCCCAGCCACACGCTCAAAGCAGCTCTGTCTCCCCCCAGCCCCACCCCCTGCAGCCAGCCCAGAAACTGCCCACCCTGAGACAGAGAGAGAAATTGAATTCAACAGCCCAACATAGAAATAGCCCATTCATTCATCCTGCTGTGTGGATGCTGTGCCACTCCAGCTCCTCCCAGTCTCCCAGACTGCAGCTCCCTCATATACTCTGCAACTTTTGTGGGAGGGGAACCCCTGGTGGGACCATGGCCAAAGGTGGGGGGGGTTGCTTCCTCTACCGGACTTCAGCAGCCCAGCACCCTGAAGCAAGATGAGCTCAGATGTCCCAAGGTGAAGCAAGGCAGTGTCTCCTGACTTGAAGCTGATACAGGGGGGTGAATGCAATGAAAGGAATTCCCTGGGAGCTGCGGGGGGATGGAGGGGAGGGGTGCGAATGGATGATGGATCCAGGGGAAGGAAATCAATCCTTCCTGACGCAGGGAGGGGATAAACTTCCTCTCTGGTAGGAAAAGCCCCTCAGGCAGGATTGACCTGGGTGTGGGGGAGGAGGAGACAGCATTGAGCTGGGCAAGCATTACTTTCCCAGGCATGAGAGCCGGCCCTGGAGAAGAGCCCACGGGGAGGATGAAGCTAGAACAGAGGTGGGCAAACTAAGGCCCGTGGGCCACATCCAGACCGTGGGACTGTCCTGCTGGCCCATGAACTCCGGGCCGGGGAGGCTAGCCCCCTTCCCCTGCAGCTATGCCACTGCGCGGGCAGCACGGCTTGCGCCTGCCCACCTCCCAGGCTTTCCAATAGCCAGTCCTGCCACTCTGAGCGGCATGGTAAGGGGGCAGAGAGTGGGGTGGGGCTGCATAAGGGGCAGGAGGTCCTGGCGGGAGGGGCAGTCAGGGGACAGTTGCATGGGGTGGAGGTTTGGGGGGGGACGGGACAGGACACTTAGGGGACAGGGGTGTGGATGGGGTCGAGGCAGTCCAGGGACAGGGAGCAAGAGGAGTTGGATAGGGGAAAAGGAGCAAGGGGGGTTGGACGGGTCGAGGGTTTTGAGGGAGGTAGTCAGGAGATGGGAAGTGGGAGGGGGTGGATAGGGGTGGCGGCCAGGATGTTTGGGAAGGCACAGTCTTCCCTACCCAGCCCTCCATACAGTTTTGCAACTCTAATGTGACCCTTGGGCCAAAAAGTTTGCCCACCCCTGGACTAGAAGTAACGGTGGTGCGTTGCCCACTCCTGTCCCCCCACGCACAGGGGAAGGGATGCGGAGCCCCGGGACCTGGGTCAGAACTGTAGTGGTTGGTAGCTCCCAGAGCCTGCATGGGAGAGGTCCAGGCACAAGCAGGGTCCGGGCTGGGGGAGGCCGCTCATTTGCACCTGGGGCTGTGGCTGAAGTGAAGCCCCTCTCACCTTTTGGCCATGGCTGGACGCACCCGGCTGGCTGGCTGGAGCATGGGGAGGGGGCAAGCTGCTGGCCCCAGACCAAGTTCACTCATCAGACACAAGGGCAAACTTTTATTAAAGGAGCCATGTCTTTTGGTTTGTCCCCGTGCCCAGCACTAAGGGGGTCCACAGCTGGTTTCTCCTGGCAGGAAGGAGAGCACAGGTCCTGGGGGAGACACCAGGGTGAGCTGAGAATAGCTGGCTTGGTCCTTGAGAAACCCCCCGGCCCATACTCCCCCAAGTAGCCCCCTGGGGCCAGCCGAGAAGCTGCCCACCCGTCTCTTCCCCCAGTCCCCTGCCGAGAGGCTGCCCACCTCATCTTCCCCACCCCTCCGCAGCTAGCCCAGGAGCTGCTGTGTCCTGGCTGCTTGTCCCACCTAACCCAGCTCCCTCTGCCCTGAAAATTAAAAGGACTCACACGTGCCTGCGGTGGGAGCCCGCTAGGAACTTCAGCGGCAGCAGGGGAAACAGCTGATTGGCCGCAGCCAGCCAAAGAGCTGATGAGGGCTGCTGCGCATGCTAAATCAGCTGATCTCCTGTTGCCAACAGCTGATCTCCCCGGTGGGTGCAGAGCATCCACTAATTTTTTTCAGTGGATTCTCCAGCCCTGGAGGACCCACAGAGTCAGCGCCTGTGGCTGTGGATGTACCCCAAAGGCTTGATTTGAACCTGTAGTTTATTCCATCACTGCTACAAGCCTGAACTAAGAACTTTGCTATTACTGTATACAATTGATACAACGTAACCAGCTTTAGCTCTCATCTGTACGTCTTTCTTTTATAAATAAACCTTTAGATTCTAAAGGATTGGTAACAGCGTGATTTGTGGGTAAGACCTGACTGGTATATTAACTGGGTCTGCAGCTTGGTCCTTTGGGATCAAGACAACCTTTTCTCTTTTACAGGGGTATTGGTTTTCATAACCATTCGTCCCCATAACGAATGGCACTGGTGGTGATACTGGGAAACTGGAGCATCTAAGGAATTGCTTGTATGACTTATGCTTAGCCAGTGGGATGAGACCAAAGTCCTCTCTGTTTGGCTGGTTTGGTGTGCCTTAATGGTAAAGGAAACCCAGCCTTGGGCTGTAACTGCCCTGCTCTAAGCAATTTGTCCTGACTTGATACTCTCAGTTGTGTCCTGCCAGAGGCTGCATTGTTACACCCTGCCTTTCCTTTATTTTGTTTTAACTTTTACATCCTTTTTTATTATTCTAATTGCCTGGCTTTAACAGCTACTAGCTCTTTTAAGAAAACAAGAAGCAGGACTTGCCTTTACAATTTGCTTTCACAAACAATCCCTCAGGAAATAGTGTTCCTGTAAAGATCTGACTCCTAGAGAGAACTATGCATGCAAGTTTTACATATACTGTACCGAGCTTTATGTATACTGCAGCAATCTGCAATCAAGACTTAAACATTTAAATCACAGGAACCAATCTGAGTTTGCACCTTTGCAACTATAAATTTTATTATGGACATAGTTGTGTACTACAAAATTAATCACACTTTTACTTTTGTGAAAATTGAAAGTCAGATCCTCCTCATATTACTAAACATTTATACTGCAGTACCGCCTAACGACTACAGCAAGGTATGGCCCCACTGTGATAGGTATTGTGTAAATGATAAATGAGTCCTTCTCCTAAAAAGCTTACAGGTGTTTGCAGGTCCCACAGATTTAATGGGAGTTGCACGTCTGCATCTGAAGACAGAAAAGTTAGTCTACAAGTCAATGGGTGCTACCTGAAGATAAGGAGCAAACTTTGACTTTTACTCACTGAAGGCCAGATTCTGATGCTCACACTAAATGGCCCTTTAGTCCACAAATAACTGCACTGGACTCTCAATGGGACTCCACATGGACTAAGGTACTGCCCAATGGATGTAGAATGCCTGAATCTGGCCCTGAATATTTTTGTTATGCAGTTACTACTATATGCAGAGTAGTTTTAGTTTGTAAACTTACTTCTTTTTCTGGTATAAAGGCACTTGGTCCTCTCGTTAATGGCTGAGAGACTCGGATTCTTTTTTCCTGCAAAGGAACGTCACATGATTTTATTAGAATTAGCAAGGATAACATATTAACTTACTTTATCTTACAAGATTAGATGCTGAAGGCCGTGACTTAGTTATCTTTAAAAGACTGTCTGCCTGTTTTACAACTTGTTAACAGATGAGGCTAACATGCCATATCAGTTGGATTGAGTTAGCAGTCCTTTACATTGCTCTCAGACTGCCCAAAAGTTGGCCAGTGACAGGACATAAAAAAATAAAATTAAAAAAATCACTCAGAAATCTAACCTTGACTACTTTACAGAGCTATACAAGAACATGTGGCAATAGTGCTCAAACTTTTGACACAATACTTCAGAGCAAACAAACTATCAGAATAGAGAGAAATACTGAACTCAAAGGAAATTCTAGCATGATACTAGACATAAGATTGACAAGGCTGCACATGAGAGATAGTCCTCAACTCCATTTCCCTCAACATTGAATTTGATTATATAATGTTTGCGAAGGGTTTTGAAGATTAGAAATGCTCTGGAAGTGGCAAGATTCTTATGAAAACAGCTATTACCCACACATACACAACCAGAGTGATTTAAGAACTTGTACTAGAAAAACTATGCCTCCACTCTTTGAGGAAGAGATGACCTAATTGAGCTGTATCCAATTCAGAAGAGACTAGAGGTTACAAGGCCTATAAGGCACAAACTAAAGCTAAGGAAGAGCCAGGCCCCCAAAGAATTAATGTCAAGTTTCTTTGTACAGAATTTATTTACTACATAACAGGCAGTGCATTTCCCCCGCCCCAAGAAGAGAATTGAACTAAGATTTAAAGAAAACATATGGGTCTCAATCCAGCTTCCACTAATTTACATGGTAGTCTTTCCACTGATTTTAATAGGAGCTGGATCAAGTCCAAGATGGGTACGACCAAATGCTAACACAGTAAGAGATGAGTGAACTACATGGTCATCGTCCACTCCTGTAACTATCTGCACTCCTATTACTATCAGTGTCAATAAAGTGCCTGGGATTTTGTGTCAGCATGTTATAATAGGTTTCAGAGTAGCAGCCATGTTAGTCTGTATTCGCAAGAAGAAAAGGAGAACTTGTGGCACCATAGAGACTAACAAATTTATTTGAGCATAAGCTTTCGTGAGCTACAGCTCACTTCATCGGATGCATTCAGTGGCAATGAATGCATCCGATGAAGTGAGCTGTAGCTCACGAAAGCTTATGCTCAAACAAACATGTTACAATAGTACATCCCACTGACTGAAATTCACTAGCAGCTTAATCTTCATAAGAATGAATAAGTTTTAATTTACTGGTTCAATAATAGTCAACTAATAGCCCCCGTAAATCACTAACCTTGGGAGAACGGTTTTAGTCTGTTACATCAGTTCATATATGCAAGATGAAGATTTGCATGCAACTGCATACCTATGAACTATTGTATGTCTTGCAAACAACCATGAAGTTTGGAAATAAACAGATGCTCTACACCAAAATGTGTAGAGCAGTTTCATTGCCAGATGCCAACCAAGTCTGAATGCTTGGAGAAAAATAAATAAATCAGTCTTTGGTCTACAGATCTGCATTATTGCTTCTACCTTAAGTAAAATGAGAGAAGAGGCTTTCCAACAGCAGCATAAATACCTTCCCCTAATACTTGTGCACCCCTTAAAACTTATTGTTTATCAAATGGCTCATATCCATTCAACTACTTTCTTTCCAAAAGCATTAGTTCTTATTCTCACAGGTACATGATTGATTTCAAAAGGTATGCAATTACCCATCATTACCAGTATTAGATTTGCACTCAAAATATTTTGTTCACCTGACAATCAAGTCTTAGATGCCCTCAACAATGCCATCAGAGAGGAGTTTGAGAAATATACTAATTTTGTAAATGAATATGTGCACCATTCTGAGATTACTTTAAACACTAATCTTTGCAACAGATTGCAGCATAGGGAAGTAAAAACACTAGAGGTTCATATTATTGTTACATTTCTGGAAAAAAATCCCACCTACGTTGATTTTTCAGATGATCAGAAATGACGTCAGTGCAAATTATTCAGGAAAGAGGTTAAAACAAGAGTTTGATGATTTAGGAGTTATGTTCATTACTTTGGCAGAGAAGTGTCTACCGCTGAGGAAATGCTGTCACCCCTTCTGAAATAATCTGAGCTGTTCACGAGAAAGCCAGTTGTAGGGAGACAGTTCAACAATTTACACCCAGTAAATTGCAGTAAAGTTCCAGGATAATTTACAATATTTATCAGTCAAATTTGTTAATCCTGTGGAAAACAGAAGAGGTAAATACTTTATTTGTTTAATGGGATATGAGCACATGCAAGTTGTTTTATTGTATTTTCTTACAAATTTAACTTGGAGAACGGAGCACTGAAATACCATTGAGTAGAAAGATAGAAAGTATTGACATTTTTGATAATGAAAACAAACACGTTTCCCAAAGTAACTACTACGTCCACTGTTAGAATTGTATTTGATTTGTTCTGTTTTGAAGTTATTTTAAAATCCTAATTTTGGGATAATCTTCATTTCAGAAGGGATAATTGGGACGGGGTAGCTCTCCGGGGTTAGAGGATTAGTGATAATTCAAGCTTCTATTGATAACTAGGCTAATGCCTCCTAAAGGGTTGCTATGGGTTAGAAGTTGAGCATAGTTCCTACAAAAAGTGCTCCAAATGGTCAGAGTAGTACCACCTAGGTGACAACCACACTCCTGCCACTTGCTTTCTCATGGCAGAGGTGTTCCAAACAGGGAGTGGGGATGTGAAAGCTGAGTGCCTGGTACCTTAAAACCAGGCTGCTCAGTGGCCCTTTTGCCATGACAGAAGAAGGAAAATTCCAATTTAAACTCTCTCAAGATGAGAGATAAGTTTTTAGAGCCTGGGACAGGGTCAATACTTTTATGGAGACCTGGAGAGACAAACAGAAATTGCAATACACTCCTGAGGACCAACTGGCTGGTGTAATACCCCATGAAAGGAAGGACAGAATCTTTACTATAAACTAGCTTTGAGGATCCATCATTTTTCGGATGGCAGGATCTACATGCTCCCCTTAAAAAACTGAGACAAAATGACACACTGGTTAAGTTGTATAAAGCACATTAAAACTAAGTGCTAAATCATGTGACTCCAGACACAGCACAGGTACACATACGTGTGTACACAACAAACCTTGGATTAACTGTACATAAAAACATGTTCATGAATGTTGCATCTTCCATTGAAACACACCTAGTGAAAGCAGTTTACCCAATAGAAATAAAGCTATTGGAGCAGAATGATTTAATTCTGAATTCTGGCAAGCTGATCAATTTACCAACCTAAAGTGAGTTACCAAGTCCCAGCAGAGGGACCCAGAAACTACATGGAAGCGAGCAACTCTATAAAGAATGAGTTTCAAATAGAAAAAAGCATCTAAAAAGCTCTCTCCTCCCCTCCAAAAAGCTTTTGCAATACAGGATTAACAGCTGTATTTTAGTTGCTATTAAGTGCTTAGTTACTTAACTAACATTCATCCTGCTTCAATAGATTTTCAACTATAGGCAAAATTGAGAAATACAAACTAGAATTTTAGTAGTTTTAAGTCATCAAAATGGCTTCACATTAAACTGGATATTTCCAGTGTTTCTTTGGAGTCTAACATGGCAAAAGCTACAGAAAAATCTGAATTCTGTTTGCCAACATCAGGAATGTGGCAATATGTATTAGCCTGTGCAAAAGAATCTGGAGACAGATTGCAAGGAGAACTAGTCAAATAATTTTAGCCTGAGCTGTTGTCTGTTTAATATACATACATACAGTTTTCTCAATCTAAACTTGAGGGAATACGTGGATTTTGACAAAAATTTTCTGTGAAAAGAAGTCAAAACATTTTGTTTTGATGGTATTTTGATTCCACTCTACACATTAAATATGTTTATGCATACATTTAATATAACATTAAGCATCAAAGACAAATGAAATATTTGAATAGTCCCAAACCAAAAAAGAAAATCTGGGAATTTGTGTTTTACAGGAAATTTCAGCATTTCATTCTGAATTGGAATGAAAAAAATTTAGAAGTGTCAGAACTTCTCATGAAGTAAAATTCCAGTTCCTGACCATCTCTAATTACAAACAATGAACTCTATTTCAATCTCAAATTGATGGAATAACAGAGGATTTTGGAGCATAAGAGTTTTCACTATCTTATTAATAGCAGAGACAACTTTCTGCTAACCAGCTCATCTGTAATCCCTTTAATTAGAAACCAAGGTTATCACTTATACCAGTATTATGATGGATGGAAAGATCTTGTAGCCTTCCCAATATAATTTCAGGCAGTCATGCACCATACATCAGTAGCGGAGATTTCAAAATTCTTAATCTCATCAATTTGCATCCTAGAAAATACTTTACAGCCTAGCTCATCTTCATGAAGACAAAAATCTTTGGTGAACATCTTTTCAAGAGACCCACTGAAGAATAATTGTGTCTCATATAAACAAAGGAAAGATAAGCGGTTTGGTTCTTTGTATGCAGTGTAGTTATAGCTGTGTCAGTCCCAGGATATTTGAGAAACAAGGTGGCTCAGGTACTCAACATCCTGAACACAAATAACCATAGAAAACTGTTCAGTCACTGGCAATTGGGTATATAAGCACTATGCTGCATAGTAGGTAAAAACAAAACCAAGTATCATCATATGGTTAGAAATAGATGACTTTTTGGTTTGGATTTTGAACTCCACAACCATGTCAGGGTCTCATTATATGGAGACCTGCGTATCTCTCACTCCACCCCAGGGGAGATGTCTCTTGAAAGTGTTTCTTTAGGTTGCTTAGCCCTTTGGGGTTCCTAGCTTACCTATGAACCAGGCACTATTCACACACTTCTTTTACAGGCAAAAGCATCCAGCTTGTTGTCGATTATCAGCAGTAAAAAGAGAGAACGATAGAAAGATAGATGTCATGGAGACAGAGGTGAGGCACAGCTGACATTT